CATAGGCGCCTTTTCCCTAAATAAAAAAATAAAAAAAAGTGTTGCGTCTACCTTAAATTGACTTGTTAAATTACATCCAACTACTAAAACAACTGAAAGAAGGCACTTAAATATAGTTAAAGATACAACAACAATAAATAAAAATGCCAACAAGCTTGAGTGCAATACTTTTGAAGAATTTAAAATGCGTAATCGAGTTAAAGAATTTTTTTTTTTTTTTTATTATTCATTTAATTTGCCGTTGATAAATATTACAAAAAAGAAATTACAATGAAAGAAAATCCTGGCCGGAGCAAGAAGAAGACAGGTTGTCTTATCACCGAGCCCCGTCACACAAAAATTTACATGCACAATAAATGATAAAAGACAAAAAGACAGTATAAATACAAAAACAAAAACAAATCAAAAACTTCAGCAATAAAATAATTTGTTGCTAACAATCTTCAAGCAGAATAATTTTAAAAATAAAAAAGTAAAAACGACAAAAAGTCATGAAAGTTATAAAAACACACAAAAAAATGTGTTGTTTAATTGAAAAAAAAAAAAAAAAAAAAAGCAATATATGTAAACATAAGTATTTGGGCTGATTATTTAATATCATCAAAAATATGAACGAAAAAGATAATTTTATTTTCGTTATCTTTTATACTAATGGTTTGAAACCATTTTAATAAAATGATAAAAATAATAAAATTATAAAATAATAAAAATAATTAAAAAAAATAATAAAATTAATAAAATTTAATAAAATAAAATCGGATATTAGTATTTTTGATGAAGAAATTCTGTTTAAGTACATAAAAAATCCGTTTTTATTATTAAAGTCTGAAGTGTTTGTTGACAAATGTTTAGATTTCTCATGCATTCTTTTTGATTGGTCTTTATCAATCTGCACTGAACTATATAAATTACATTCAAGATCTCTAAAAAATATAACAATTTCTTTTCTTCTACAAGAACTTTTGTCTTATAATATATGCGATGGTATTAGACACCAGATCTGTGAAGTCATAGTCGGAGTCGGAGTTGCAACATTTTTAATGGAGTCGGAGTCGCTAAACAAAACTGCGATTTTGACTCCAATAGTATAACTTCTCGGTATTGCACGTGGATATTCAAAATATTTAACTTTCAAATAACTTTTTATATATTTGGCAAAAAAAAAAAAAAATTTCAATTATCGCGTAATATTTTTTAATATTATTTACAAAGAATTTTTTAAAGGTTTTGCTTTGGAATCAAAGTCGGAGTTGGAGTCTCAGTCTGAAAGTTTTAGCGATTGGAGTCGGAGTCAAAGTCGGTACTTTTTTTTACCTCTGTTAGGAACATTAGTTATCCTGATTTGTTGTTACATACAGTCTCATGTAAAACCTATATTAATCACATTATTGATGATTTGCCACCTGTAGTTAAGACTTATTTGAGATCATCTGACTGTTTTTTTTTTGTATTGAAGGACAGAATCAATATTTAGTTTGTGAAAACTTTTTTCTAATATATGATTATGAAAAAGCAAAATAAAATGTTCCACTTCATTTTGCTCAGTGCAATTTGCAAAATGATATATTGAATTTTATTTTTATTTGGTGCATTTTATTTGGTGAAGAATTAAAAAAGATATTGCAATTTTTATGAAATCAAATGCAGAAACTTACACTTTTCATGAAACATTTTTATGATGAACAAAAAAAAGCTGCCTGTTGTCATCCTAACGCGGTGAAGTATCATCTTATGAATATAAGATTTTGTTTATCGCATGAAATCTTCATCAGCTTATGCATAAGCTGATGAAGATTTCATGCGATAAACAAAATCTTATATTCATAAGATGATTATAACAACAAATCTCTTATGATATTTTAGCTTGGATGATGTTTTTATTAGTTCTTCTATAACTTTGGAGTTAAAGCCAGCAGAAGGTTTGAATGCGTTTTCGTAATCCCTTAAAGTCCTGGAACTAGGAATGGGTAAAGTATTAGATGTTCATAGTTTATCATATATGATAAACTATGAACATCTAATACTTTACCCATTCCTAGTTCCAGGACTTTAAGGGATTACAAAAACGCATTCAAACCTTCTGCTGGCTTTAACTCCAAAGTTATAGAAGAACTAATAAAAACATCATCCAAGCTAAAATATCATAAGAGATTTGTTTTATAATCATTTGATGAAATTAAAATTGAATCTGATTTTATATTTGATAAACATTCTGTTGACCTAATTGTATATACATTTTTTTTTTATTATCAATATGTTTCGCTGTTTATATATAAAATAAAAATAAAAAAATTACAATGACATTTTTTACATTACCCAAAGAATATAAATAAAACAGACAGGGACTCAAAGAAGATAAAGATGACTGGTGTCACCATAATCTTTTCATAGAGCCCCTTTACAATATCATTTAAAGCCTACATGGCTTTAGAAAATTTACAACAAATATTTTATCTGTTAAATACTACGTAAAGAGTAAAGAAAATATCATATATACATATATACTCATATATACATATACCCATAAAAACACACACATATACAAACATACTTACATAAATGTCAGAAATTAAGGAGATGCAATTTTATTTGTCGTTTAAAAGAGAAAGTGCTTTTCAAATCTTTTATATTGTTATTTTTTAATTGATTCCATAATGATGGGCCTTGGCTAATAATTTAGAATTTCGATACTTGCAATTTTACTATGCTCAAGTGATAGTTATGGTTGTTATTTGACCAAAGATTGTATTTTTGTGAAAATGCTGCTGTAAAAATATCAGAAAACACTTTTTATTTTTTTTTATTTTCTTTTTGGCAGCAAGCTATTTTTATATTTATACATAATTATTAATACTTGAAACAAATTAAGTTTTGATTAAAACATTCATGTAGTTCATTATTGGCAAAGGGTTTTCTAATCTCTTTAAACTGTTTTACATGCGTGGTTTTGTTAATCTTAATAACTTAGTTTTGTGTATGAGATCCAGATGTAAATTATTGTAGTTTTCCTGATTTGAACGGGTTAGCAAAACATGTTTTTGTACTTTATGATATCTTTAGATTTAAAATGCACCCTTGCATTTTTTGCAACTACAGATACAAATGCCAGTCAAATTTTGAAAACATTTTGGGAAGCAGTATTAGTTTTTGATTATCTGTTGTAGCATGTGTTTCTAATGTTGCATCTGCAAATCAAAAATTTTATAAAAAGCATGAATACATGGATAACTGTATTGATGAAGATTTAGTGTATTGCACCGTGAACATTTATGCACCCGAAAGATATATTTGGTTTTTTGTAGATACACTAGATATATTAGAAGGAACTGTATATTTTATTCGGGTAAGCAAATTTTCAGTCATTTATCTATAATTATTTTTTTGAAGAATAGTTTTCTATTTCATAAAATGAATATTTTGTTAAAAAATGGAAAAAAAGTATTTCAACAAAATTGTTTCAACAAATATCTTTTCCATTATTGTGGAATAATGGAAAAGAAATTTGTTGGACTCAAAGTTAACTATGGCACATATTGATCTTAACACTTATTTAGTTATATTAAGTGGACATCTAAAAATCGGGTCAACTTTAAATTGAGATTTCTATAAAACCAAAAATGCTTTTTATTTTTTTAATCTTTTTAATTAAACTTATCTTTAATTGTGTTGATAAACTTTTCATATAATTTATCCAGTATATTTATATTTTACTGCCATTGCAATTTTGAAAGCGTTTTGTTCATAATGTTGTAAAAAAAGATTCTGCAAGTAGAAACATGAATGATTTCGTTGTTCCACAGGAAATAATAACGGTGAAAACAAAGCTTTATGAGTTGTCTTGTTTCAGATAGAGTGAGTTTGGTAGAATATTTGTTAGAATCATCTTTATTTAATTGGTCTATAATAATTGAAATGACTTTCTTTATTGATTGATACAAGTTTATTAAATCAAATGAAACTTGAATCTACCCAGTGAAAAATAAAACCGCGTCCCACATGGGTTCTACGTGGGTTCCGTGTGGGATTCATGGGATTTATATGAAACGGATTTTCCCATGTGGTATCCGTATGGAATTTTGCCACTTTAAACCCAATTCACATAATTTCCCTTTTTCTTTTTTGAAAATGAAGAGAAAAAAAAAAAGAGGAGAAATTCGGTAACTTTTTAGGCTTAAAAACTCTTAGATTAAGATTTCATAAAGGACATTTGAACTACATTGAAGAACCTAAACAGGAGATTTACGGCGTCCTATGATTCAACCGAATCCCTAATTTCAATTTAGAACCGAATGTGAGAAATTTATTACACAATTATTTACGAAAATATTTACGAAAAAAGTTAGAACCGAAAAAATTTCAATCGAATTTTCGATCGAAAGTCATTAATGATTTTAGAACCGAATTTCATTAAAATGGTTTACAAACGAAAGTTACACTGTTATCAAACGTTGTATATATATATATATATATATATATATATATATATATATATATATATATATATATATATATATATATATATATATATATATATATATATATATATATATATATATATATATATATATATATATATTAATAGTAAAATTTTAATAATAAAAAATAGATAAAAAAAAAAGGATTTTGTAATTCGATCCAAATTTTTTCGGTTGTAAAATTCGCTTTAGAAACTTTCGGCGCAAGAAAGAATTTTGTAATTCGATCCTGCAATGAAAGTATACTTTTCGGTTCTAAAATTTTCGGTTGTGAAATATTTCGGTGATATTTTCGAGGATAAATATTTTCGGCTCTATCATGTGACACGAGATTTACAGAAACATTTTAATTTTTAACCTGAATACTTCTGTTATTGGGAATAAAGACTCCTAGGTTTTTAAAGTAATATGAGTTAAAGTAATATATATATATATATATATATATATATATATATATATATATATATATTATATATATATATATATATATATATATATATATATATATATATATATATATATTAGGAAATGCTTGAAGAAAGTAGTTTTTAATAATGTGGTAAAAACCTTAGCATTGAGCGAGCTAAGAACGAGCCAAATTTTGATTTGTCTTTGAATTGGACTTTAACTTCTTTCAAACGAAAATTAAAAGTTATCTTTTCAGCAGAAAATATTTTTTCATGTTTTTATTTCTTTTAAATTTTTCATGTATATAATAGTTTCATATATTTCATATAATTTATCCAGTATATTTATATTTTAAATGCATAGTTATATATAGTTTATGTTGATTTATTGGTTAATTTGATTTTATTGTCACTATTATTATATTGTAAAGGGCTTCATGATAAGAACGATCTTCTGAAAGTCCTGCGGATTATATTTGTAATAAAGCTATTCTGTAATTATAATTTCTTTTATTGAAGTATATTATATGTTGTTTTCTTTTACGAATTTTGATAAGAATTTAAAACTTTACTGGTAATCGTTGTTTGATAAGTTTAAAAAAAATACCAAATAACTGTTAACTGTCATTTGATAATGCTACCCGGCCAGTAACCAACAAGCGGGTCAGGTGCCCAAGTACCAGTCTACAGCTTTAGATATAAATGGCGTGAAATCTAATTTTTTTTCAAGTTAAGTTCTTCTAGCATATTTATAACTTTTTTTTTTTTTTAATTTTTAAACTTAACTTTTAATTTGGTGCAATATAATTTTTTGTTATTTTAAATACATTTTGCAACTACCATTGTAAACAAGGTGAAACCTTTTTATTTTTGCTCCGGCAAAGTGATTTTACATTATTATTATTTTAATCAAACGGTATAATACAAATAAATGAACACTTATTCTTTATAAGGTCTTCGGGATTCAACTGCGATTGTCATTGTAATGCCTTTAGAATCAAAATGCCAGTGGTTTGATGCATGCTGCTAACTGGTACTCTGTGTCAAAATCAATAAAGGTTTTCGTGGAGCACCTAAAAACCCACATATAAAAAAAAGTATATGACATTCTACTTTCTTTTTAGTGACAGTATTTGTTATTCTAAAATCTATTTTGTCTTCACAGAGAATTTAAGAGATCCCTAAGCTTTATGTAAAAAGTGGTGTACCTCCAAATATTTAGTTATCGCCTTTCTCCGTCCTGATGTTGCCGAACCAAGGTTGTTGGCTGTTAGATAATATTGAAAGTCAGGGAAAGTGATACTTAAACATAACTCAATTTACTACTGACGCAAACAATAAATAACGATGCTTCCAGCCATTATGAAATTATTTGATTAAATCATGAATCGGTTTAAAAGCTAAAATTTAATGTTAATATGTTGCAAACAAATTAAATTGATTTAAATACATTTAAGTGGCAGCGGATATAAGTATATTGGAATACATTAAAATGCCTAAATTTATTGAAAATAAATTTCAACTATGGAAAACGTATGTAGTTTTTTTTCAACTATGGAAAACGTAAGTTATAGTTTATAGATAACTTTTAAAAAAAACTACTCGTTATACATAATGTTATGAATATCACGAGTCAATATTGATGGCGGAAGGAATGAAAACGTAATAAGTTAATTCAATTTAATCTTTAAATAATACAAAAGTAATAAACTAACAAAACGATCATTCGATTAATTATAAAATTTGTGCAAAGATACAAGTCAACTTTAATTTTTCAAAATAAATAATTCAACGTTCAAAAGTAAGAAATTTCATCTTCATGTGATTTATTTTCTTGAACAGAGTGTAACTGAAAATTCTCAAAGTTCGGTGGCAGAGGTCGAAACACCCGCAAATGAATAAATCTGTTGTCACCCGTTTTAACCTAAAAATAGTAACACGAAATTAAAAACTTGATTAATAGTTAAAAATTTAAAAACATGATTTACCACTCTAATAATAAAAAACACTGCGAATAAATTCTATACTTTGTTTTCATTCTACAATGTTTGCATTTATTATTAATACATTATATATGCAATCAACCAATCGCACTATATGATATAAAAGAACGAAAAAAAAAAACTGTTTATAAAAGGTTAAAGATATAATGAATTATCGAGACATGAGTTTGCATGATTGCCTTGGTGATTTCATAAAAAAATATTTAAATATATAAAAACAGTAAAAAACGATTTGCTTACCGTCAAAATAACATTTAGTTTTAGGTCAGAAGGACTTGATAGCTTATGTGAACTTGAAAAAGCAATTGAAATTATCAAGAAAAAAAGAGAATAAGTTAGAACATAATAGTTACGTGAAAGTCTAAGATTAATTATGAAAGATATATCATGGTAATATAGAGAGTTGAGCGGTCTAAAGTGACCAGTTGTTCACATTTGTTTTGGGCGCTCTCTCTCTTGAATGTTTAGTTTATCGTGAGAGTTCTTTTAGGCAGACAGTAGTAGTAGGAAAATGAGAGTTCTAGCTTATTTTTCATTTTCAACCTTATTTTCAACCATAAATTAATATGAATATTGGGGTTAACATTGAACCATGTTGTGTATAATTTATTTAGATAAGAAATAATTTTTTATTTTAAAAAAATTGATTTTTTAAAATAAGTGTTAATTTTTATTTCTTGTTATGAAATATTACGAAAAATTCTTAAAATGACGTCACGTGATTTTTCTTAATAATAAATTTGATCTGGTGTTTTTAACTTTTCTTTTTTTAATCTTTCATTGTGCTTTCGCTCTGCTATCATAAGAGCGTTTGCGAATTCGTTTGCGTCATGCTCTCGCTTTGTTATCATAAGAGCATTTGCTAATGAACAAGTATTACATATTTTTTTTGCTTTTTTTCAATTTCTTTTTGAATATCATTTTTGATATTTTTTAATTCTTTTTGAATATCATTTTTGATATTTTTTAATTCTTTTTGAATATCATTTTTGATATTTTTTAATTCTTCAATTTCTTTTTGAATATCATTTTTGATATTTTTTAATTCTTCAATTTCTTTTTGAATATCATTTTTGATATTTTTTAATTCTTCAATTTCTTTTTGTTTTTTTATTTGTTTTATTATATATTTATCATCACTATATTTACTAACTTCATCTTCTTAATTAAATTTATATAATATTTCTTTTATTATTTCTATTAAATAATCTGCTTTTAACTTTATTTCAACATTTTCATCATCATTCATTTTTATCAACATATCTCTTGTTGATATCATTTCACTAACTAATATTAATAATTCTGGTTTTATTAATTTTAAAAATTCTTTTTTATTAATATGCTTATATATATTTTTTATTATTATATTTATGTAATCTAAATCTGATTCTAGTTCTGATTTTGTTTCTTTACTGAATTTTTCAGATTTTAATATTAAATCTTTACTCATTACTTCTAATCTTTTTTTTAAGTTTAAATATGCTGGATTAATTATTTCGTTTTGCATTTCGCTTTCCATTCTTTTTATATATACAAGAAAATTATTTAACTCATTTTCAATTTTTTTTATTTTTTAATGCGCATGCGCTAGTTCTTACGCATAGTAGTCTAGTTCTTACTGTATTTTCTTTTTAAATCCTTTTTTACGTAAATATTTGAGTTCAACTGTATCTTTTGAACATTTATAACCTAATGATTGTAAATCCTTGAGTACTTCATTTAATTCCCAATTTGTTCCTCTATATCCTTTTGAATGTAAATATATGAGTGCATTAAGACTTTTACTTATTTCAACGAAATCAAGTGTATCTTTTGTACCTTTATAATCTTTTGAATGTAAATATTTAATAATTTCAATGTCTCCATTTAATGCAGCATAATCAAATGCATAACTTGTTCCTCGATATCCTAATTCATGTAAATATTTGAGTGCAGTAAGATCTTTATCTCTTACAGCTAAATCAACTGAATCTCCTGAACATTCATACCCTAATGAATGTAAATATTTTATTTTTTCTTTATCATCTTCTTTTTGTATTTTGTTTTCCATTCTTTTTTATATACACAAGAAAATTATTTAAATCATTTTCAAAATTTTTTTATTTTTTAATACGCATGCGCTAAGATTTACTTATGCATAGTAGAAACATTGTCCTATCAGTGCAGCATAGCTTCCAGATTGTCCAACTTGTGCATCACCAGAGTTGAGTGTCACTACCATTCTTCTACCTTTACCAACGCTAGGCATACTTTCAGATGAATTAAAGTTTCTATAAAATGAAATTGTAGTTGTTGGACCAATTGAACTAGTTGATTGATTCAACAATCCTGATACTTCATTATTAAATGAGGTTAAATTAGATCCATTCCATGAAGAGAGATAAAAATCTTCTAAACCTGATGAAGCATAGATGCATCGACTGTTAACATCATATCCAGAAAATGTAGTATATCCATTATTATTATAAGGTGTCCAAGGTTGAATGACAGAGTTAGTATTGGTAGGAGCACCATATCCATCATAGATGCGAACTCTAGATTCCCACCAGTCTCCAGATCCTCCAACAACATGCATTCTTATGTATTTCAAATACACTCCGTTTCCATTATCCATAACATTCATTAGTATATATTCACTACCATAAGTTGTATTTACATATCTAAATGTTGTTGAGTACAACTTAATAGATGAGATAGATCGAGGTATTAGAGGATTAATACTAGTTAATGCTTGTTGTAACGATGAAGTTCTTGTGATAAAAGGTTGTAACCAAAAGGTCACTGAATTTCCTGTTCTATTGTATAATTGTATATTCAAACTTGATGTAAAAGGAAGATCAAACGTAAAATATCCTCCTAATGCACTTGCACTAAATACATTACATCCTTGTAAAGGGTTTGCATAATAGGATCCACCAAGTGGTGCAATTAATAAATCACAAGCTAAAGCTGTATTATTAATACCTACACCATCTGTTACAATAGAATCATTACCTATGCAAAGTACATTGTCAGCATATATTTTTAAAAACAAGTTACCTGGTACAGTATTAGGTGCAATAGTAGATCCTGTAAATGCAATCCACAGTTTTTTTAGAATTCCTGAACTACCGCTATAGCTAAAAATAGTATATGATCCTGGAGTTGCATAGAATGCTTGAGATTTTTGTCCAAGACATATTAAACTTGTATTGGGAATGATATCTAAACTTTGATTTTGCATATCATCAACGTAGCTCTTTGTAACTGCATCTTGTGCATCAGTAGGATTAGCTACATTAATAAGTTTATTTGTATTTAAATTTATATTAGCAGTTGCAGGATTATAACCATCAGTTCTTAGATATATACTGCTAGAAATCTGATTATTATCTACATAATTCTTTGTAGCTGCATCCTGTGCATTAGTAGGATTAGCTACGTTGATCAATTTATGTGAATTCAAATTTATATTAGCACTCATACTATTAGTTCCATCTAGTCTTAAACATGCACTGCTAGAAGTTTGATTGTTATCTACATA